TAAAATGAGGACCCAGATTGTTGGGGGCAATATGCTGACTCTCTGTAAACCGCTTAGAGAGGGCTGAAAGCCCTATGAAGCAGTATATAAGTCTATTGCTATTGCTATTAATTCTATAAAGTCCTGTTTCTGAATCTGGCATACTTCAGGAAACTACAACTTTATAATATTTCAGGTTATTGCTTTCTATTGCTCACTTTCTCTTCCATCAACAGTGAATGTTTATCCAACATAGGATAAACCTTTTAGTTTCTCTCAAAAGATGCACTTTTAAAAGCTTTTTATTTCTTACACTGTCAGTGACAACAGGTATGTTGGACTTTCTCATTGGGAGAACAGAAATTTCTGAAATGGGCTTTTACTGTTACAATGTCTGTCCTTTGAAAACCTCAAGTTTAGATTTGAGGTTTTGACCCTGGTATCTTTTAGGAAAGCTTTAGTGACCTGAATGTTTTCCCAGGCAAGAGGTATGGGAGATTATTTGAACAGATGAGATGCTATCCTTGTTTTTGTTCTTCGTTGCTATTAAACTTTTTTGTATTGCTTATTCTGTTTTTGGAATTTTTATGTTTATGTTATGGCCACTTAGAATTGCTTTTATTAAGATGGGCAGCCATATAAATCAAATGAACAAATGAGTGAAGTGTGTAGTATTATCTTGGGAAAGATAATACTAAGTGATTTATCATTAGAGACAAAGAATAGATGGTGAAGAACACTATATTGCACTACATGTGGTTTAACTTTGTACACTGGTTATTTTCTAGCTAATTAGTAGAAATACCAAATATTCTGCTAAGTGTGATATTTTTTATTGATCTTAAGGAAAAGTATCGATTCATGGGTACAGCTGCACCTTGGACATTTTAATGTACAGTACCCATACTCCAATATGCCAGAACCTTCATTTATGAATATTTTATCTTGTTTCAAAGTTTACCTAGATCTGTCATGTTTTTGATGTATCCAAAAATGAAATTCTTAGGGAAAAAAGCTTATCACTGCTAATGAGTCATTAACTATGGATTATGTACAGAGATAAAGTTTGGGTATAAAATTATAGCAATTTGTATATCAAGAACAATTTAAATCCAGAATAAAAAATCACTGTATTAATATACATAAAATCTATATTTGGACAATCTGTGCTAAAGCAAACTTTCCTTACGTTACTTTGTGCAATCGCTATACTGGATACAGAGTTGCTTAAAAACATTAATGTACTTTGTTTGGATCATTTAAAAACTATATAGGTTTTGTGGTCTAGTATTTCGAGGACCCTTATCTGTTCAAGAAGATTGGATAAAGCACCTTCAACGCCACATTGTCAACGCAAATCTTCCTCGGACTGGGGCTGGCATGGTGGAAGTGACATCACTGCTTAAAAAACCTGCCTCAATCACTGAAACTTCATTTTCTTTCCTGATGGCTGAAGCAGCTTCATAGAGTACGGAAACACTTCATATTGCATTGGATGTACATTTGAAATCCTTTTGTTAATTTTTTTAAAGTTAAATTATCTGTTTATAAAATTTGAAGCAAGAAAATGGGAGTGGGAGGAGAATGACAGTTAACATCCAAACAATTGAGTACTTAACACAGTTACCGTAAGTAGTCTTTATATTTTATATAGGGTGGAAGATGTATTTTTAAAGTTTACTATGTTTTTGGGTCAATTACTGTGTTCACTATTGATACAAACCCATCACATGTAAGAAGATGTTTTTAAATTGTTGCACATGGGATCTTAAGATACGTTTTATGAAATGAAAGCATTCTTTACAGTGTTACCAGAATCAATGCTTTGTTTAAAAAAAAAACTTGCTTAGTAAAATATTTTATTTTGTTTGTATGTATGTAGTGTTTTGTACAATACCAAGAAATGCTAATGCAATTTATTAAATTTAGGGCATTAAAAATCATGTACTTCATAGATCAGGAGACTGTTCCATTCAAATAGGGCAATTAGTACTATTTAGCTGTGTATGTGTTTTTTAATCACACGAGACTTTTTTACTAAAAGTGGAGGGAAACTTGTTAAACAAATTTCTAAAACCTATGTACATAATACTGGAAATTATTTGTGGTAAGGAAAGATTCTTTACTTCACTTGCATTTCTCACTGACAATAAAATGGTGCATCCATGCTACCTCCAACTTTGTCAGCAGTAATGGTATTTACCCTTTCCATTTGTAGCATCACATACTTACTCATGGTTGTTTTTTTTATTGTAGAACATGCTAATGACATTGTTCCTTTATGCTTTGCTTAAAAGTATGTTGCTTATACAAGTCCTTTTGTTGCCTTTTATTTAATACTATAGAAATGTATTAAAAGCATTGCTCACTACATGGCTTAGGTTAAACTAGCCTTTTTTGCAGTTGTTTTTAAATAAATCATAATATCATTGGACATAAATAGAAAAGTTTCCACATATGAAGAGAATGTTTACAATTTGAATTTTAGAATTTGTTTTGGGTGTAATTATATGTATGAAAACTGTAACACTATGCTCATGCTAAGGACCTATTTACAGAATTATTAAAATAAATGTGCTGTGAGGATAGAAAAATATGGTGCAAGTGTCTTGATCAAAATTAATATTGGCTGTTGACAAAAATGTCACTTTTCAGCAGATAAGCAAATTCCTCTTTGAAAACTGGTTCTGTAATGCAAGTAATGTTTCCTTTTATTCATGTAGGGTGATTAATACTGTAGTTAAGCCAAGGAAATGCATTGATATTGTTTTGCGTGTAAATAAAATTATAAAACAGTTGAGATGTGAGGAGTATTTTGGTGGAGAATATACATACCTCACAGCCAGTGAAATTGCGTTCCTCATGGTATATCTCCAAACCAAGACTATATCTCTCTAAATAAAAGGTTAAAAGAAAATGTGATATTTGTCTGTAATGTGAAGTAATTCTTGTTCTGCATTACGTACATGATCTGAAGTTGATTAATCTCTTCTAAATATATGCTATAGAAAGTTTTAACGTGAAATATGTTCAAAATATATCATTCTCAGGGGAACTAATATCTGGACAGAATCCACTGTTGTATAAATTGCTTTTTCCCCATATTTTTCAATAGAATTGTATGTCACCAAAAATTCCACTTTGCCAGAGGAATTTTGAAACCACCGGAATAAAACTCAACCAATGCAGTGCTGTTAAGATGGCAGGAGGAATAGATACTGTTCCATTTGATTTCTTGCAGTGATTAGAATAAATCAACCCTCTCAGCCTGGACAATTTTCAGTCAGGTAGACATCAGCTCCCAGAATCCTCAGCAACAGCCAGGTTGAAGTTCACTTCTAGAAGGAATCCAGGTTGGGGAATAACTGTAACAGATCTATCAAAATAAATATCATGTATTTTAATCAAATTGTTTTTTTTTTAAATTTGATAATGGTTTTTAAGACCAGGCAATGAAGATAAGAAGGAAAGTATTTCACATGACTGAGGCATGAAAAATCGCAGTACAGACAAATCATATATATGGATTAGAGAGAAGTGGGTGGGACAACTACAAAGCTCTTCATTGTCCATTGTATAAACTACAAAGCAGAAAATTGCTAGTTATGGGTGCTTTAGCAAATTAAATTTTAAATGGAAGAAAATTGTTTTCTCTCTCTCATATTTCAGAAATACCGAATACATTTAAAAGCAACATATGTGCTTCTCTGTATTATCAATCACTATATGCTATATAGTCTATTCAGAGCAACAATTCATATATTTTGTTATGTAACTACAGCAAGGGTGTCAAACTCACCACGTCACATTGCCATCACATGTTGCAATGGGCCGCCATTTTGACACCCCTGTACTATAGATTTGAACTGGTCAGTTCAGTCTGCTTTCCATTTCTGATCAAAAGCTAGAACTGAGAAGAACTTATCAACTGGTTCCCTTGTATCACTATATCAGTTTCTAACAATTTCAGTATGAATGTTGACATGGGCTTGTTTTATTTTTGGCTGGACCTACCGTGTTTCCCCAAAAATACAATCTGCCCTGAAATTAAAGCCTTGCCACATTTTTCACGTGGGCAAAAATATAAGTCCACCCCCGAAAATAAACCCCCTGGACAACCCCCCCCCTTGCCTCCAGCCAAGCAGAGCACTGCTTACCGACATAACGGTATCCTGAAGGCGCCAAGCCACAGGAGCCGGGGGGGGGGGAAGAAAGGCGCTCACATTGCTTGCCTCCTTTGGGATACCGCTAGGTTGGGGAGTGGTGTTCTGCCTGGCTAGAGGGGGGAATTGCCCAGCTCTCCCTGCAGCAGCCACTGCCGCGCTCCAAGCATAACGTGTTCTCCGGTTCCAAACTTGGCTGCTGAGTCTTCCAGCAGCAGCCACTCTAGGAGTGCGCTCTATGGTTGTGGGCTGGCTGCTGGAAGAGAGTCTTCCAGCAGCCAGCCCACAACCATAGAGCGCACTCCTAGAGCAGACGCTCGTGGAAGACTCGGCAGGTGAATTTGGGAGTTTGGAACCGGAGAAGACGTTATGCTTGGAGCGCGGCGGCAGCTGCTGCAGGGAGAGCTGGGCCCGGACATGTTGAGGCTAGGAGGCATGCCTGCTGGGGGCGGAACAGGCGCTCGCGCAACCCCCTTCTCCAGCCCGGCAGAGCTCCATGCACTGACCTAGGGGGTATCCGTAATGTGCCAAGGCATGGAAGCAGGGGAGCGGGCAGAGCGCCACGTGGCTTGGCGCCTTAGAGATATCC